TATTTTTTTAATGTGTGTTACCTCATAACTTTTTTCTGATGATTTTCTGTGTTTCTTATGATCCTATATAAATTTGATCAAGGTCTGACCAATAGCTTTTGAGTTGTCTTTAATAATTTACATTGAAGTCGGTTGTACAATTTGTTTTAATTTTACCACTTGTTTAGTTTTCTCTTAGCTATAACGATTGTAGAAAGCTAGCTTGGCTAAGCCCACAGGCCTTCATCCTTTCCAAATAGGTATGAAAATGGAGAATTAAACACGCTGCTTTAGTGCTAATTGGAGACCTCACCGATTTTCCTATGACTTGGTAATTTAGTTGTTTTTTTAAACACTGCAAGTACTTGGTGCAAGTCCTTGACTACAGCCTCATCTGATGATAAATTATGATATATCTATATAACCCTTTGATTGTATAGGACAATGGTTTATAGAATTACAGGATTGGGGTGACATACGAGCACCCAGTGCACCTGATAATAAGTGTGTGCTGTGAGCCCATAGACACTTACATCGATCCTCAATAAAGAATCAAAATGAATTAAATGAAATGCCTCGTTACAAGTAAAAACAATCTCCGGTTCTGTATACTCACCATATGAAACACAGCAGCATTACGTTGTTATTTTACGCTAGTTTTCAGTATGTGCGCGACGCTGATCGCGACCCCTGTCGAGTAGATTGTTACGTGGTAGAGCCATGCTCCAGCTATATTAGTAATTAACGACGTAAATGCAAGTAGTTAGTAATTAGCAGCTATATAGTTGTAGCACGAATGGGTCGGCTCGACTGGGGAAGGACCACGCTCTCACAGAATACCAGCGTAAAATAGCAGCTTAACGCTGCTGCGTTTCGTATGGTGAGTGTAGAGAACCGGAGACCCTTTTTACGGGAAATGAGGTATTCCATCTTAGTCCTCACCGGGTGACAACGCATCTGCATTTTGATTCGTAATCGAGGATAGATGTAGATGTCTATGGGCCGTGGCAACCACTGACCATCAGGTAGACTGTATACCCGTTTGTCACGCTTATGCTATAAAAAAACCATAATATAGCTGCAGCGTGCAGCTCTACTTCTTTCAAGCTTTTAGTTTAGTTTTGCATGAGCCCATTTGCTTTAAAAAAACACTCTCACTTTATTGAGATTAACAAATTTGGGTAGTGCCAGCTATTGTCGAACTTCGTTTGCGTTGCGTAGTATATATATTGAAACGGGCACACAATCCGTGGTTTACTATGGTTATTATAAAAAAACCCTGTTTCAGTTTACTTTTCCTTTTAAAAAAGTATGTTTTATAATATCTATAAAACGCATCGATCACTAATAAAAAACTAGATACACGACCCCATGCAAAAGTTCTCTAAAAACTGTCGCCAATTGATTTGACGTAATTCTAGTTGAAATGAATACATATTAATGTAAATTCAACCTTAAATGCATTGCCCAAAGTTGTATTCACAAAGCTACGTACAAATTAAAAGCGCACCCAAATGTTCGAGTGAGTGCTCATTCGGTGTGGACATTTTTTGTCACTGATTGTGTATCCAGTTTTTTTTATTTGTGATCGATGGTGGAACCCATTTTTCTAACTATCTCATAATATTAAATACATGTAAAATTACGTATTTATACAACGCTTATAAGTGGGGCGAAGGCAAGCACCTGACTCAGTTAAGTTGATTGAATTACACATTGCGTTACCATCGTCATCTAAAGTATGTTAACACCTGGCTCGTCCCAGAGTAAAGAGGAAAGAGACATTTTGCCTTATTATTTTTAAAACATAGATGAAGTTGAAAAAGCATGGCCAAATCTGAAAAGTCGGGTTTTTCAGCCAGCTAATAGACGACCGTGCATACTCAATCTAAATTAGTAGTTATTACTGTTTCCCGAAATAGCCATATTTTCTATCTAATTTTATATACTCTCATTGTCCTTGAAAACACTAAGCCAATAATTTTAACTACGGAATTTGAGTTGAAATTTACCGAAATTGATTTCCATGTTAATTATTTTTTTTGTTTTGTATTTCACAGTCCTTTCAGAATAACTAGATTTTTAAAAAATAAAAAATAAAACATTTTTTATTAAGATTTTAAAAACATTTTCATGGTAATTTTTGTTTATTTGATTAAATTTGCGATCATTTCTAAAAAAAAAACTATGAGGTAAGGAATTTCCAAATTTTAAAGTGTCTAATACGTATGTTAATTTAATAAGTATTATTTTTTCTTAAAGGTGTTGAAACTCTTTCTATGCAAGAAAAAACAATGTCATTCACTCTCTCTTCTCCTATGCTCTGTATTAAAAAAACATTTTTGCGTATAAATATCTCACTTTCGCAGATCTACGGATATTTTGAAATACTACGGAATTCTACGGAATTTTTTATACCAATCTACAAATTTGGATAAAATTCGAGTGAGTAACACTGAATTTGACCGACAATTCTAGCTCATCTGAACTAATTTGACACCACAGAACAGTTATCTCAAATGTCTCCTCACTGGTAAATCTTAAAATGAACATAGATAAAATGACGACGGTGAGATATGGAAAACCCACTTACTTTTTGACGATGGTGAAGACCTAAGTATCAGGGCCTGGGATACCGTAAATATAATATGATCTTCTACTCGCTAAGATCTTTCATTTAATAACAAATACGATATTATAATCAACATTTCTTTGTTTAAAATTTATGAACGCAATTAGCCACCATGTTTCGATTTTATCTGACATTCTAAGGCAAATAACCCGCGGAAGAGGACGCTTACAAACTATACCCAATTTGTCAAAATAGGACGAGTAATATAGATGAGGCATACATAGAAACAGAAACTTTTTTATTCAATATAGATTATAAATAATACTTATTGAAAGTCACTCTTTTGTATAATTACCACTGGTTCGAAAAAAAACCTCTATCCTGGAAAGAACCAGCAAGAAACTCAGCGGGACTTTTTTTTAAATAACAGCTTACAATCATGTATGTTACACAAATTAACAACACAACAAATTAGAAATAGCTTGGTAGCGATCACCTCATTTCCAGGGGTTATTATCATCTATAAATTCTTTAATATTATAATAACCCTTTTTATACAAACTTAGTTTAATAAAGTTTTGAACCTTGAGCAGGTCAAATTTTGTAAGTATATTATACATAACCTACCTTTTGGATTTACCATAGTGACTAAGGAGACCTATTACCTATACGAATTTCTGTCTACTCTGTAGTTACCTACTCTGGTGTAGTAACCCACTCATATTTTTATTTCAGCTATGTCGGAATCATTTTTGATGCGGAAGAGCGCTTATCATAAAGTACTATATTGTATGTGACGAAATGATGACGATTTGATGACTTTGTTGTCAATATCAATAGAGCAGAACATATTGTATTGAATTAAAATAATTTTACGGATGTTATCGCGTTTAAAATATCAATACAATTATTATTCTAATGAAATGTCGTTAAAACTGACTTTAATTCTCTAAAACGATGCAATAATATAGTCTTTGTTTCAGTGAGCGAATTGTCTATGGTTTTATTTTTTATTTTATTTTTATATTCCTACATATTGTAAGCCAGTGCTTAACTACGATCGCCCCTTGAATGGTGATGAAGCCCTAAATGTTAAATCGCATTGTTTTAGAAAATATTTACATATTTATGAAATATACAAGATCGGCTTTTGACCGCTCCGTGGCGCAGTGGCTTAGTGATGAGTTGCTGCGCTGGGGGGGGGGGCGCGGGTTTGAATCCCGCATGTAACAAGTAAATAATTGTTCTGGGTCTGGATGTTTGTCCTTGTGCAATTTGTGCTTGTAAACTGCCTCCACGATACAAGACAAAATCCTAAGGTGGGGGTAGTATTTAAAAAAAAATAATTCGGTAATTTTTTGCTGAATCACCGAGCAAAGCAACTTTTACTTGTCTGATTTAAGACTAGCACTTCCTGGAATGTCTTTTTAGTTGATATTTTGATATACGTACGAATAAAATTATGGTGCTCTGCATCCCACCAAGAAATTTAAAAATGCTATATTTCTTATGCGTTTGGTCCAGGTAATTTTATTTGGTATAACCAATAACCAACAAGCGCTTGCCTTTCGTATTACGCGAGCAAACCGAGTTCGATCATGCCGGCATTACTGATATTGTTAATTCTTAATGAAAAATAAAAATAAAAATCATAAACAACAAATTGATAAATACTTATTTACTAAATTCTCGGCAGTTAAGGAAAACATAGATACAGAATCTACAAGTATGGAATCTAAATCTGCATCTGCAAACATACTGGATACCTACTCGTAGAGAAGAGGGAGCATGACGGACTCTTCCTCCCTAAAAACCCTCTCAGGAATGAGAGGAGGCATTTGCTCAGCTGTGGGGCGTGTACCCGATGAATTTAGTCATATTAACTTGACATGGTTTTAAGTTCTATGTTTTGCGTAATGGATTCCTAATCCCCTTCAATGAACAAAGAGAAAACCAGCGCGATATTATAGAAATGAATGTCTATAAATAAGCCATATTTAAAATGCACTGTCAGTGCAGGATTATTGAGCGAGGCAGCCTTTATTGTGATTTCGTTTTTATTGTCGCTGCTATTGATTTATGTGGCCGGTAATATCTCTATATATATCTATTACAGACTATAAAAGTCCACTGATGAACAAAGGTCTCTCTCATAGTACTAAAAATATGCATTTAGTACTCTCATCGTACGGTAACATTTGAAATTAAATATTTATATTACTTGAAACTATATTCATAAATTTCCTACCAGGCTATTGAAGTCAATCTTGCTTACGCATTTACAAAATGGTGTCTATAGTTTTGGAACATCAAAATTCATGGGGCGTATATTGATCTGTGTGAACATGTCCCTGGTCGACATGTTGTGTAGAGATTTCTATGTTAATTTTATAACGTTAAATATTCAATTGTTTCAGATCGTTGAGTCTACGTTCACTGGCGCTTAGACATGGTAAGTTACTAGAAGAACATTAATTATACAGAATCCGATCCATGAAATGATTTCAAAGAATTTTTTTACATTTAGCCTTTTAATGATTTCTTATATTTACGTGAATACTACAAATGGAATAAAACTAATTTTACGAATTTTATCGCATTTAATTTTAAACTTTTTTATTTCCCGACGTTTCGGGCACTTTCCAACGCCCATGGTTACGGGGAGGTGGGGGGGGGGGTCGTGGTGTTTGACATCCCGATGTCATAGTTAACGCAGGCTGCCTGCAACTTTTAATTATTAATTTTGGTCCGATCTACGCCGAACGAGCTTACAGTGCCTTGAACTCTTGCAGTAGAATGCTTGGGTTTGGATTTAATTTTATTAATTATGGGATCCCTAGCAGATGGTAGCACCCAGCCATCTTCCCTATTGAAATTGCGATATTTTTTAAATTCAATAGCCTCGGGAATCATACTTGGTAGAAATTGGTGTTCTTTTGCGAGGATTTGAGATTTATCAAATCTGATATAATGGTTGGGACGATCCTGAACATGTTTTTATGGATTTTTTGTTTGTCCTATGTAAGAGTGTATGTTCTTATGGAAGTCCGCTTCAAAATATAGCCAATCTTGTCTGTGACTCATCTGACGTATGCTAGTACAGCAGGAACACGCTCGACTGTGGCCCGTTTCACTCGGTCTTGGCTCACAACTGGCTATCTATTGTGTAAGGAAGAATTCTACGAGCAAGTAGATGGTGCGGCGATGGGCTCACCTGTATCTCCCATTGACGCCGATATATTCATGGAGGAACTTCGAGGAGAAAGCCCTTCTCAGTACACCTATGTATCCTAGATTCTACAAGCGGTACGTAGACGACACGTTAATAATTAAAATTTGAAAGTAGCCTTCGTTAACTATGACCCTCCCGAGACCATGGGCGCTGGAAAGTGCCCGAAACGTCGGGAATTAAAAATCAAACCGGCCAAGTGCGAGTCGGACTCGCGCACCAAGGGTTCCGAACAAATCCGTAGGTATATAAGTTTAAAATTATTAAAAATATTTTAACTATATTATGATGTAACTAAAAGTTTATGCTTTTCGCAATTTTTCCTTTATCTGTGCTATAATACGTTGCTTCGTACCAAATTTCAAGATTCTGAGTTCACGGGAAGTACCCTGTAGGTTTTGATTCCCATACGAATGTCGAAAATTTGCGGCATAAACGGCTGTATCTTTTTGATTGCGCTGGCTTAGAAGTTTGATTTTTTCACAGCTCCAAGGGACAGTACACTTGAGTATTTGATATGAATTTCAGCTTGATACCTCCACGCGTACCCGAGAAAAAGGTTCTTGACAGACAGACAGACGGACAACAAAGTGATCCTATAAGGGTTCCGTTTATTCCTTTTGAGGCACGGAACCCTAGAAAGTAAAATTAAACGCGATAAAATCCGTAAAATTAGTTTTATTCCATTTAGCCTTTTTTTTTATAAAACTGAAGTGACAAATCTTATTGTCTACCTGATGGTAATTGGCTATTGTAGTGCATGGAAACCTGCAACCAACTTCATACAAAGAAGACTACAGGTGGGTTGTCACCTCTGAGGACTAAGATGGAATACCTCATAACCTGTAAGTATCTAGAGCTTTATCTACCAGGTTATTTTATTGGGTAGTAGAGGTCCTTTTCTGTCTCTGAATAAATTTAGGCTGGATCCTTTTACAGTAGTATATTCTTTTCCTTTCTAGAAGTTCAAGTTCTGCTCGGACGGAGACTGTCCGCTGTGGGTGCTCGCGGCCTTACACGCTATCAGCAGTCTTCCGGCGCAATTGTTCAGAACTCTTCTGCACCATGTGCTGGAAGAACAACCTGTAAGTATTTGCTGTACTTTGAAATTTTGTTATTTTACGCAATTATTAGAAAAAATCAATCATTACTTGCTACCTGAAACAGGCGCAGAGCAAGACCTAAATTTAGTGTAGGCAAGATTAAGTTTAAGATTAAGCACCGTCTACTACCTACTACTATCAAAACTATAGTCACTTTGTAGTATATAGTGTCGTATGCTATATATACGTAGCTTTAATATAAGTGGTACAACGGCTCACAAAACATGACGTAAGGTATTGCAAAATGATTATTATTTCGATGTCAACAAAGTTAGCGAATAGGCTTGCAGCACATAATATATAGCATGCAAATAATTTATTTAAAAAAAATAACAATCGAAAGACAGCTAACGATGGCTAATCATTTCGTGACTGCCAGATATAAAATAGCTACTGCGAGCAGTGTCAAAGTTGCCATACATCTGTTGGCGCGATCTTAAAGCCGCTTGCCAATACTATTGTCATACCTTTCTATACATTAAATAATTTGACCTTGATGCTCCGATCAGCAAGGAAACTGGTGATACAATTGCACTATTTCTCGGGAAGCCCATAGGAAAGGAGCTTGGAAAGAAGCGCTTTGTGCCAGACTCGATCGAATGTCCAAACTAACGGCCAATGCTTCCCCCTTGGACTCGATCGCCTGCGCCCATCTATGTGTTTGGTAAACAAGAAGATCATCAGTTGAGCGACCCCGACGGAAACCGTACTGGCAGTCACTAATCAACTGATGCTCCTCAAGGTACCGCATGAGCTCGCAGTTAATAATGGACTCCATTATTTTCGAGAACAAGGAGGTGATGGCGATAGGCCTGTAATTGAACGGATCAGAGTGACGACCTGGTAAGACACCAGGTCGTCACTCCATCTAGTGGAGGGCCGACCCACACTTCGCCTACCGGTTCGAGGCTGTCACTAGAGAACCTTTCTTCCCCATCGGTTGTCGGTTCTTCGAGCTATTTTGCCGATCCATTACCACTTCAGCTTACTAATCCGTTGGGCTATGTCGGTTACTCTGGTTCTACTGCGGATATTCTCATTTCTAAGTTTATCAGGTAGAGAAATCCTGAACGCAGCCCTCTTCATCTTTGAGTGACCTTGAGCTTCCTCATACGGCTTCAGCAATCTAATTGACTCAGCTACAGCTTAGAACACGTGAATTTAGCGTGAAGCACATGGAATAGGAAATACTGCTCTAGATAGTGGACACTTCATTGACGGCAATTGTTACTTTACCAAATTATAAAGTAAATTATAAATTTAGAACGTATTGCTGGATGCGTGTTAGTTATAGAGAGCATAGGTAAGAATGTGTTATAGATGTCCTGACATTTCGTCGTTCTAGCTTAATATTTTTCTGAAATGAAAATTCTTTGAACTTTCGGAGTGGGGCCGTCAGGGCGTAGGCGGTCGCCCACGCCTTTTTTTCACATAAGCGTAAACTTAAAGAAGGAATAATAATAATCTAATGTATAAAAAAAATTTTTCGTATTTTATGCGCTGCCATACCTTTCATCAGATTGCGGTGAAACTTTGTCAACTTATTGCTTGCACTTGCGCGGAGGCGCTTTGCGCTCTCTGTCGCACTTACGCACTTTACCGACAGGCCTGACCGTAAGTGCGACAGAGAACGTAACAGGCGGCGTCTTCTTTCCCCATTTTATTGCACCGCGGGCAGCGAGTTTTAACATTAGTATAGTAGACCAAACACCCCTTTGGCCAATTTCCTCATAGTCATAATAGATAGGGAAGGAGGATAAGGTGACAAAAGACAGGATACTCTTCGGAGTTTCTTTCGCTCTTTTGCGGTTCGAAGAATCTCAATGTGAAATTTCGAAACATTTAAAGATTTGCACAAATTTCCATTTTATAGTTAGTGTTAACATTGGTTTATATTAAACAATTATTATTTATTATAAAGTTAACAATGTTAACCTATTTCACTACTACTGTTATTTAAAACTAAGTTTCTAATAGTGACGGAGCTTCTTCATACGGCCAGCAGTTAAGGACCAAGTTTCAGTACAAATTAACTGAGAACACGCACTGATTGTACATTTTTGTCTTAACATTTTCGGGAATATCGGACAAGAAGATTTGACGCAGTTGACTTGTGATAGGCTGTAATGTATGTAGTTATGATAGTAATTTTAATTTTAGTCGATTATTAAGTAAAGGCCAATCCTACACGTGATTAGATACTGCAGACTTTTTAGAGCATCAACGTTTTACATTGATAGCATTGCTATTAATACTTTAAAATGAAAAAAAAATATACGTATATACAAAAAAGAGTTAATGTTATTATATTTATGCTTTTAAGTAACTTTTGTTCGTGTAAAGTGCATTCATTTCATATTAATGTGACGTGCGTAGACGCCTGAAAAATTGAATTATATCTGTCTTCGTAAACGCAATAATACATTTCGATACCGCTTACATGTTGAAACATTTTAAACATTATTATATTTGATGAGTCTTTTTTATCGTATTACCTGAATATAATGTACTGTGTCGCTGAATATGTTTAAACTTTCCAAAGTAAGATGCACGATCATATTCAACCTCGAACACGTGCTCGTGTATGACGTCAGTTACTGCACTGTATAAACACTTTTTTATTTATTATAAGCCAGTGCTTGAGCACAATCCCACCTGGTGGTAAGTGTTGATGAAGCCCTAGATGGTAAATCGCACTGTCTTAGCGCTCAACAAAAGTTTATTCACTCTTTCCTTGAAGACGCCCAGATTGTATTCGGACGAAAAGACAGACGCCGGCAAATTATTCCACTTCATTGCTGTACGCATGACAAAACATGAAGCAAACCGTTTGGTTCTAATGCGTTGAATATCGACAACAAAGGGGTGAAAACCCGCCGACCGTCTGGTTGTCCGATGGTGGAAAAGAGAGGAACGAATTAAAGCATGTAATTCCTGCGTATTAATATTTTGTTTTATAATAAACTAGCTGTTCCCCGCTACTTCGCCCGCGTGGTTTTATTTTTCGCGGAACCCTAAAATAAAAGCAGCCCAAGTTTCTCATTATAACATCAGCTATCTGCCAGTCTGTATAAATATTGACAAATATGGACATTAATATTTATACGATACTAACGTCACTCAATTGTTTTGCCTTCCGAGAACTCCTCCACTAACACTTAAACTTTATGGTATTAAAGTTCAAATTGACTTTTAGGTATTATTACGAATCTTTTGTATGGGAATATAGAATAATGTTGTTTTTAGACTCTTTCAGGCAATTTTTTAAATTTTTCTCTCCGTAAGAACCATCTTCGTACTTCAAGGAATATTATAAAAAAAGAATTAGTGAAATCGGTTCAGCTACTCTCGAGATTTGCGCTTAGCAACACATTCAGCGATTCATTTTTATATTATAGATTCGGTACCATTAGCAAGGCGTTATGGTAAACAGTGTTTTATTTACATCCTACAGTCTCAGTATTTGAGTGGTACTCTTCAACACCATTTACTCTTGCATTGCATTGCATTACATATTTTTTGCATAGTTGCGCACACATAACCAAACACAAGTTATGTGTAAATGGGGCCAAATTCGATACAAGCGACATTTAGGGTTGTCGTTTTCACCGATTAAAGAGTTGAGAACTGAACGGGCGTCAAACTCCATAGCAATTTCTTAAATCCTAGGTTCTATAGGAATGTGCAACATTCTGGAACTGCTATAGTTTGCACGGAATATCTATAACGAAGAATATCTAAATATATTATTTTATATTTCAAAATATTACAAATACTACTATAGTTTTTATTTCAATTGTACAATTAATTCAAACAATGCCTGAATCTAAAACAGTCTACAATAACAGGCACCAGAACTAGAATAAACCTGTATCTAATACCTACGTGCTAATTAATACATTAACAAATGTTTTCCGTTCCTTATATAAAATTAATAATCAAGAAATTATCATAAATATATTTTACCGAAATACAGATATAGATAACCTATAGATATTCTATATAATCTCTGCCTATAGCGGAATATCGATAATCTATAACCGAAAAGCTGAAAACTGGAGTGTAGAGGTAACACTCCATACCTAAAACCCCTAACTTCGTTTATACAGAACAGAACCTTCTTTTTTTGCTTAAAAAAAATAAATATACATACATATATATATATATATATGCTTGTTTTCTATTTTTACTTTCATCATCATCATTATCATTACATCACTTCACAAGTTCGCTGCTGAACATAGGTCTCCTCAAGAAATGTCACAAAGCACGGTCGCGAGCCACCTGCATCCATTGACTTCTTGCATATCTTACCAGGTTGTCACTCCATCTAGTGGGGGTCGCCCTACACTTCACCTACCAGTACGAGGCTGCCATTCGAGAACCTTTCTTCCCCATCGGTTGTCGGTTCTTCAAGCTATCTGGCCGGCCCATCGGCGCTTCAGCTTTCTAATCCGTTGGACTATGTCGGTTTCTCTGGTTCTACAGTGGATATCATCATTATATTTTTAATTTAAGTTATAAGAATTAATTGTCCACAATGTTGTTGGTGGTCAAATACTGTACTTGAAACTAACCGCTTTAATAACTTTGAGCGTCAAAATGCAGATGTGTTTTAACCCCTGAGTACTAACATCCAATGTCTCGATACCAGCAAAAAGGGTCTCGGGTCACCATATGAAACAGAACAGCATTAAGATGCCACTTTACGCTGATATTCTGTAAGAGCGTGGTACTTCCGAACTTACCCGATCGATCCGACGCATTCGTGCTACACCCACAACATAGCTGCAGCGTGGCTGTACCACGTAATAGAAAAGGATTTTCTGAAGTGGCCAAAAATTGCTGTCCTTAATCCGTAATTTAGGTGGGATAGTATGCACTTGATGGATCTTTTACACATGCTTAGGTACTCATCATTTAAAAATACCTTTACATTATTTTATTTCATCATCATTACATACCTTCACAAATCCATTTTTTATAGAATAAGGGTGACAAACGAGCTCACAGTCCCCAACCAACCCAACGGACAATAAGCGGACGCTTCGGCCCACAGTCACCTGCATTTATCTTCGATCAAGTTACCCCTGTGGACTAATATGGAATACCTCATACCCGTTAAACAGGGTCTCCGGTTCTCTCCGCTCACCATACGAAACATAGCGGCATAAAGCTGCTATTTTAAGCTGGTATTCTGTGAGATTGCTAAACATACGTCAAGTAATGCCACAAAGTATGGGTCTAAGCCACCTGCAGGGCTAGCATGGGCAGGAGATAATTTTATCCCCGGGGAAAGGAGAAAATGTTTATCCCCTCGCTTAGTTTTATCCAAAATTCGAGCATGGACATACCGGTGGATATAATATCCACAGTAGATAAAATGGGAGATAGACTTAGACTTATATGGATGTTTTGTATGAATATAAACTTAAACTGATATCCAATAAACTAGGATAAAATAGTCCCTTTCCCAATTTTCCCAATTTTTTATCTTTCATTTGGCTCCATGCTATGGACGGGGGATATATGTCTACTCGTTATGTCAAACGGGGATATTCTTCTCCCCGTTGCCGTGCTTTGGCATAGGGACAAGATAATTTTATCTGTTGTCAGTGGATATAATCGGGGGATAAATTTTTTGTCCCCAGTCCATACTCGCCGTGCTGCATCTATCTACATGTTTTGCTACATGTCTTCCCAGGTAGTCACATTTCATATAGTGGGTGGCTGTACGTATGCTATTGTAGTTTAGTAGTATTTGAGTAGTCCTATTATCTATGTGCCGGTACTAGGCTGCTGCTTTAGAACCTGTCTTCCCCATCGGTGGTCGATAAGTCAAGCTATATGGCCAGCACATTGTTATTCTAGTATACTGATCCGTTGGGAAATGTTAGTTATTAGCTCTGCTGTAATCCTCCTTACAGATTCTATCACGTAGAGGAACTCCGTGCACATCCCTCTCTATAGCTAGATAATCAATCTTAAACTTCCTCAAACGTTCTTGTATTTCTTCCTCACTACTTAAAGTCTTTTAAGGCTTCTGTTCTTTATCCTCTACTCTACTCAATCCATCCATTACAGTCATTAAGTCGTCGGTTGAGCATAGGCCTCGCCCTCAGATTGTCTCATAGATTTTGTCATAGGTGCCACGCTTGGTAGGCTAGTAGGCGACCGCAGTTCTTTTTGAGTTTTTTTTTGTTAACTTTGAGTTTTTATGAAGAAAATGCTGTTGCTCATTTCCTATTTTAGTTTCTATGTCGCGTCTTACGATACCCAACCGTGTAGTGGCGGTGTAAGAGTATACACTACCCCATATTTTTTATACGTGGTAGAGTCATGCTGCAGCTATACTAATTGTATAGTTGTAGCACGAATGGGTCGGCTCGACCGGGGAGGGACCACACTCCCACAGAATACCAGCGTAAAATAGCAGCATAATGCTGCTGTGTTTCGTACGGTTAGTGTAAAGAATCGAAGACCCTTTTTGCTGGAAAAGAGGCATTCCATCTTAGTTCTCACGGCTGACAACGCATCTGTATTTTAATTCACAATCAAGGATAAATGTATATGTATATGTGCCACAGCAACCACTTACCATCAGGTGAACTGTGTGCTCATTGTCACCTTTATCGTATAAACATACATATAATTAAAAAAAATTAAATAATCTAACCACTCCAAGAATGGTTATACTTGAAACAATGTTACGTCGTGTCCTTTGCAAATATTCGGTCTGCAAATAACATTTGTTGATCCACTTCGCGCAGGCTTTCCCCGAGCCTTAACATAATAACGACGTAAAGAACCTTTGTAAAGATATCTTTCGTTTGTTGTCATTAGCGCGGGAACGGACACCGCCATTTTGAAAATATATTTTTCATCTATGAATAGCCCAAACCTAATATGCTATAAATTTCTATTTCATTTATATATTTAGAGCATCTTTTGGTATCTGTAAAAAGTAGGTACCATCTCCATTCTGGTTATCACAATACAGTAGGCACTACTGGCCATGGCTGTATACACTGATGGTGACCAACCTGGGGTTTTAGGCGGTAGGAGTCGGACATAACCTTTCTGTTGCCCCCGCAGCCGAATGTATCCATGAGGATATCCCAACGATAAAAATGGCACTCTTCGACATGGCACTTTGTCAAGCCGAGAAAATTGACCACTTACCATCACGATCTTAGTATCTATCTCTAGTGGTCGTAAACGCGACTGCTGATTTTGAGGTCCCGGGTTCGAATCCCAGGTCGTAAGTACATCCAGATTCCAGATCTATTTTTTGAAACCAAAATGAAAATGCGTTATAACCCTGAGGATTTTGATGGAGTGCCTCGTTACCAGTAAAAAGGGCCACCGATTCTCGACACTGACCTTAGAAATGACAGCAACTTGAGTTGCTTTTTTGCGCTGGTATTCTGTGAGAGCGTGGTCCTTCGCTGGTCTAGCCGATCCACCCGTGCTGCAGCCACAATAGAGACGCATCCTTCTGAAGGGTAAGAAATTCAGTATAATTACATGCTGTAAGGCATTCTGTCTTAAGGCTCAATTTACATTGCGGCGGAATGGAATGGAAGCGAATTATATTATACATAGTAAAATGAATTTTATGTTAATTAAGTAAAGTGCAAACTAGATATGAGACAAAAAAAGTCGTACGTCTTCCGTGAAATTCTCGAGCTTTCCACGGAAGACGCGCGATTTCTTTTATCATATCTAGTTTGCACGTTACTCAATTAACATAAAATTCATTTTACTATGTACAATTTCGTTTCTAAAATTCGCTTCCATGCCATTCCGCCGCAATGTAAATTGAGCCTTAGTCATCAGAGGCGACAACGCATCCATAGCTAAGTAGTTGGTTTAAAAGACACACTTGCGTTCAGCCGCCGCAGAGTCTACTTCACCCGAGGACGCCTCGTGTAGAGGCTAAACACGTGTCGTATTATCGAAGGTAGTGTGCCTTTCCAAGTGTAGTGATGACGGGGATAGTGCACCAATTGAGGGAGGGCGGGAGGTTCTCTTCAAACTGGATTAAACATATCATTTTATTGTATTACGCGCATCTTAGTAAATTAATTTTTAAAATATTTTATAAAGGATTTCCGCAAAGTAACTCCCGATTCTATTAATTAACAGATGTAATGTCGAAAACGCGCGATATTGCGTTGTCCTCTATAAAAATTTCAAATTAGGAGACAAGAGCAATTTTAGTGTGTGAAACAGAGGACAGCCTTTAAAATAAACGACGTCTGGAAACCCTAACTGCATTGGTATTTGGAATTAAATAGGTTTTGACGAGTGACTACAGAATGTCAGAAAAATCTTATACGTGGTAGAGCCATGCTGCAGCTATATTTCTGGTATAGTTGTAACACGAATGGGTCGGCTCGACCGGGGAAGGACCACGCTTTCACAGAATACCAGCGTAAAATAGCAGCATAATGCTGCTGTGTTTCGTATGATGAGTGTAGAGAACAGGAGACCCATTTTACTGGAAACGAGGCATTCCATCTTAGTCCTCACGGGTGACAACACATTTGCATTTTGATTCGTAATCGAGAATAAATGTAGATGTCTATGGGCCACAGAAACCACTTACCATCAGGTGGACTGTGTGCTCGTTTGTCACCCTTATCCTATATAAAAAAAGAATGCCTGAGTATTTGCACGCACAAACATGGGCATGTGTAAATAACCCATATAATTAGTCCACGGAAATTATTCGAGTGTTGTCGCTACGGTTCAACATCGGCCATGAGGACATAATAATCATCACCGATCTCCATATTGCGCAAACTAATATCATATGCCATTTCTGTTACAGGATGATGGAATAATGGAGATATTAAAAGACACCAACCTGTGTAAGTACCTTTATTTTTTTTATAGGATAAGGGTGACAAACGAGCACACAGTCCACCTGATGGTAAGTGGTTGATGCGGCCCATAGACATCTACATCTATCTTTTATTACAAATCAAAATTTAGATGCGTTGTCACCCGTGAGGACTAAGATGGAATGCCTCATTTCCAGTAAAAAGGGCCTCCGGCCACCTGCACTCACCAAGCGAAACGCAGAGGTAAACCTCTACTTCACGCTGGTTTTCTGTGAGGTCGTGGTACCACCTGGTTCGAGCCGGCCCATCCGTGCGACAGCAAAAGCTGCCGCGTGGCTCTACGACCTACTCATCAATAAACTGTCATCTTTTTCATCTGTGACAAACGAGCACACAATCCACCTGATGGTAAGTGGATTCTGCGGCCCATAGATATCCACATCTATCCTCGATTAAGAATAAAATTTCAGATGCTTTGTCACCCCTGAAGGTTAAGATGGAATGCCTTGTTTCCAGTAAAAAAGGTCTCCGGTTCTCTACACTCCCCATACAAAATATTGCAGCAACGAGTTGCTATTTTACGCTGCTATCCTCGGTCGAGTCGACCCATTCGCGCTACAGCTGCACCATGGCTCTACCACGTAAGAACATTACGAACAATCCTGCATTTCTAAGGAACCAAAATATTTTGAGGATATAATGTCAAGTTTTGGCGGAATTAACTGACGCATTGGGGCAGCGTTGTAGACTACTTGTTTCGTAACCCTCGCAGAAATGAGAGGACGCCTGTGTCCAGCACTAGTGTTGCCCAAATGCAAGAACAAGACGAGACTTAGCAAGTCTTGGTCTTGGTCTTGCGCCAATACACCTGGTCTTGGTCTTGGTATTGCGCTCCCAGTCTTGGTCTTCCAGTCTCGCAAGTCTCGCAATTACCTATTAGCCTATTACTATTTATTAAACGTTACTTTAGATCTTAGAACAACTTAACAGAGTAGGTACATATTGAGCTTGAATTAACATAGCCATAGTAAAGACCAACCAAATTAATAAATGTCTAAACCATAGAATTATTACGCATAGAATACTAGTACGCGCACGGAAAGTGAAGCAAGTTAAACTAACGCGAAACCGCGTTAGTTCACTCAGCGACGCGTCAGTGCGCAACGTCATGTCTTACGGAGAAGAGCTCGCGAAAAATTGTAAAAATGACCGTTTTTGTTGTAAATGATTGTCACAACAGTGATGATAAACATAAAAGAAGTGATGGTACTGCATTTCACATACAAGTTTATATATTTAATTCATTATAACTACGTAAAACTAAAAAAATACTTACCTAAGCTATCCTTATACAAATGTTGCTAGTTGTGGGGAAAAATCACAATTTTCTTTTAAAAATATTTATTTTCTATTTGTGTTTAAAACGTTTAATCGCAAAGCTCTCTGTAAAACTCAAATGTTTATATATAGATACCTACTTCTCTAAGTATTAACATAATATTAACAATGGGTGCCTATTTAAAACTAATACGGAGTGATCAGCTAATCACGATTCGCCGACGCCATTTTAACGCAACTATTTTAATTGCTTTTTTTTATTGACTAAGTCTACGTTTTAGAGTATAGAATAAAAACTTTTCTATTTACAACATCAAGATATTATTAATAAGAACGCCTTAACTAACCAGATGTCACTTTACACCCAAACATTAACCAGATGTTATTTTAGACCCAAACATAGTCTATTTTAACCGACTCCCAAAAAGGAGAGGTTATCAATATGTATGTACACTGATTTCTATATTTACTAGTTTATGTCGTATCACTACGCTTGAGAGTTCATGTTCTGAACATTTATTAGTGGCCTATCACTGTGTAGGCAGCGCGCGGTAGCGCGTGCGATAGACGTAACACTAAGTTACATCCAGCGAATTTTTTTTCAGACTTTATTATAGTAATACGGTATAAGCTAGCCTGCACGCCCGACCTACTTGCGAGATATTGCTATTGTTTTGAGATCGCATTCGAGTTTTGTTTTCTCGATTGTAAATCTGCCATCTTTGCATCCTAATTTTAATAAAATAATTACTACCAAGACAAAATAATTTGACATCGGGAAAACAACCATTAAAATTTCAGCGTGTATATTGGATCAATCTGTGTGTATATCTTTTCAAATAAAAAAATCTAAATCGGTTTAGAAATTGTAGAATGCTGAGGTAAAAAACATTTTAAAAAATTACACCGAATTGAAAACCTCCTCCTGTTTTGAATTCGGTTAAAATTAAATATTACACGATGTGCTTATTGTATTCGAGCAAATTAATTGTGTTTAATAATATTCTTAAATTTTATTACGTCTGTATTTTTGTACCATTAAAATATGTATAATTAAGTTATATTAGTACCATCATTATCGTGTTTATTTTATTCCATTTTATATTCTCATAAAATATATCTTCGTACGTAATACGTAATCTTTATTATATCGATTTTTTAAAATTAATCAAAAAATAGTGATTTGCACAATTTGATTGCAAACGCCAGACACTGGTATCACTGAATGGCGTGTATGTGTGCGTGTGACGAGCGTAGGCACATTCGACTCGCGCCCACTAACATAATGATCTTGCATCATTTTAACGCTCGTGTTTTGTACTGGACTGCGTTTCTATGCGTAATAATTCTATGGTCTAAACATTTAATGAGAAATTCGAAAAATCGACTGACACCGGGTGGGGTTTGAACCCACGACCTAAGCGATCCGTGCCGATGCTCTAACCAACTGAGCTATCTACCGTGTCCCAAGGCCACGGGCGTCAGTCCGTTTCTTAATAAACGTTTACATTTAAGGCGCAGGTTGAGCAAAATGTCGCGCCAGTCGTTATTTGGGCGGTTTTTAGAAGCTATCTACTTTTTATTTAAAAGATATATCAACAAATAAAAAACACATTATATTTCTACATAATCTTGATTCCATAAAAGCTATATCCAATTTTTTTTTAAAGGAATACATATTAATATAATCTCCTTACAACGAAACCACATAAATGTGAAATTATTATTGATAACATGCATCTCCTCGTAAAGTAAGTATTATTTTGTTTTGCGATTTACACCAATGGATAGGCAATTTATTAATGAACATTTCTATAGTAAAATTTTTTTCAAAAGACCAAAATTTGATTTTATTAAGAAATTATTTTAAAATCTGGGCGTATATACTGCTCACGGGCTTGATGAAGTCAGTGAGCGCTGAGCTCTTCGACGGGAAGCCCGTGTCGTTAGAGCGTCGACCGACGCATACGCCACGTCATATGAGTCGATAATATTATTACTTATTAGGTTATTTATAGGTAGTATTATTTGTTTGTTTTGGGTATAATTTTTCGTATTAGTTATACATATATTTGTTGTGTTTTTTACTGCGCGATGAAGATTTTTGCGTGTATTTTCTTTGAAGTAAATACAAATAAAAAAATGAAGCACCATTAGCATGTAAGGTTCGAATCCATAATTAAAATTTCGACAAATATTATAATTTACATTACACTATAAAAGGCTAATTCAATATTATCACCCAACCACAATATCTTATCAGGTATACTACTGCCTCGTTGGTCTAGTGGTTGTAGTAGTGCGACTGCTGATCATGAGGTCCCGGGTTCGAATCCTGGGTTGGGCCAAAAAGTCAGTTATGAGTTTTTCATTTATGTTCTAAGTTATAATTAGTATTACCAAGTTATAGTTTTTTGCTAAAATATAGTATATGATTTATTGCTTGTTTTTTCTTCTTTTTCAAAAAATAATTGAGTACATAAGGTGTTCTATACTTATATCTCGGTAAAAAGTACTAATATACCTACTTTTTACTATAAACTAAAAAATTTTAAAACTAAATTTAACTAAAAAGACTAAGCTGACCATTTATTTTTTAACTCATAACAGGACATGGGTTTATTTATACTCTAAAAACTATAACTTTATACAATTAGTGTTCACTATAAAATTATATTCGGTATAGACGGTAATTATTAAATGCAACATATTTTTTTTAATTATTAATTACATTTGTCAGTGGATTAAATTTGCTTTAATAAAGTTGGTGATGATTTTAAATAAGAATAAAATTCTGCTCAAGTTTTTTATTGTTATCTTTGTTAACAACATCGCCTTTAGAACTCTGGAACCGTAAGTGTTTCTTTCAGACGTCCACAATTTATGCAAAATAAAAAAATACTCTTTCTACCGGAGCATTCGTACCAGGTAGACATAAAATATATTCGATTAAAAAAAATTATGTTGAAGATTGTTGACTTTGAATACTTCCATCCAACGAGTTACGGGACAATTTTGTGTCCCGGTGCTTTGTTTGGGGACAATGGGACAGGAGACCGAGAAAAGGGACAGTCCCGTTCAAAACGGGACGTATGGTCACTTTAGCTATAACCCGGCGACCATGAAGCAAATACAAAGTTAGTCTTTGTATTAGCTTCATGGTGGCGCAGTGGCTTAGCAATCAGTTGTTGCGCTGGGGGCCGCGGGTTCGAATCCCGCATGGAACAAGATTTGTATGGCCTCCAAATAATTGTTCCGGGTCTGGATGTTTGTCTTTGTGCAATTTATGTTTGTAAACTGCCTCCACGACACAGGAGAAAATCCTAGTGTGGGTGTAATGTTTTTTTACAACTGAAATTGAAAGATTGAACCCTTATACTTCTTGTTGATTTTTGTATTTATATATTTTTTATTGCACCAAATATTTGTACAAAAGCCGAGTTATCTATTTATTTACCTATAGTGAATAGGTATCTTTTAAACTAACAATTTTCAATGCTTCCGTTTATATAATTAATTATAAAATTTCATAATTAGATAATATATGAAAATACATAATTCTAATATAATGCAACTAATATATACAGAATAAAAAAATTAAAATACATTTATCTTTGTACGCTATGTGTATTTCCATAAAACAGTTTATTGATGTTGAAAAAATAATACTACTTTCGTACAATAGGTGGCGTCTTACATATTTCTTCCGGCGAGCCGCTCGCTACAATATACTCGTATTAATATTGTAGCGAACGGCGCGCCGGTCAAATGCTCAAGGTCGTTCGCATGGAGTAGCCCCTTAATAAGCTTACATGTGCTAAAACATGGTTAAACATATAAAAACAAGTTAATGGCAATAACTTTACTGTATTTTAAAGAACATTATCTGTCTAGAAAGAAATTGATGGACCCTCACCATATATGAAATGGAATAAAAGAGTTAAACAATATACCATTTATTTAAATCTATACAAATAAATAAAATTGAAGTGTCTGTTTGTTATGTCAAAATTACAGCTTCTTACTAAATGCATATGAAAGTATATACGGTACTAATAACAAAAATATAATTTTTAAAGTTTTTATCTGTCTGTCTGTCTGTTTGTTGCGGCTAATCTCCGAAACAGCTGGACCGATTTTGACGGGATTTTCTACTTTTATTTTAGAAAAAGAAATAGGGTTCCGGGCAAAAAAATTAAAACCCCAAATAACACGCGGGCGAAGTCGCGAGGAACAGCTAGTAAAAAATAAAATACGATACAAATTAAATTACTTCAGAGTACGCAATAGCTTTGACATTACTGTTACTTTATATTAATTCTTTTGACCAAGTATTAATACAAAGTAACCATCTGGCTGACTCATCACTTAACCTATTTCTATGTTTTCTAATTACTAATGACGCTTTAGAAAATAATCTCTCTAAATCTCTCAGGTACTGAAGTTGCAGGTATTGAAAGAAAATCAAGGGCCATCTTCGATAAAATCGGATATTTTGTCTCATGCGTCCTCCACCACTCTAAAATGTCTTCCGAGCTGGCGGCTCTGGGTTTACTTAGGTACTCCTCCAACTCGTTAATAACTAAGCCTTGAAGACGAGATCCAGATCCATTTTTACACATTTCAAGTGTTTTTAAAGTGTCTACAATATTTATCAAATGGGTGACGATATATTCGAGCACTTTGTGTTTTAAAAACACACACTTCCAAAAGTCGAGAGTTGCAGTGAACTTATTGAACATCTTTATCTATTAGGTAATAATAATAATAATAATAAACCTAGCAAGCTAACAGCATAGTAAAGTGGCGAAGCAATCAGCTTAGTCGCATGTTTTTGATTTTCTTGAATTTTTCAAATCGTTCATATGAGAGGTGATGTGAGAGATGGCTTCTAAGGCCACCTCTTTGGTGTCAATTACATCTGGCACTTGGTCTAAGTATTCTGAGTTCATAGTTTCGAGGTTAGTCTCGAACCTATGCCAGTCCGTAACAGTTTTGGTTAGAGGAACCTTGCTGCTGGACTGTCCTAACGACATTATGACCGGGCGGTGATCCGATGTCAACTCATGCACCACTTCTATGGAGCGTAACATTAAGGTTACGTTCCTGAAGAGTGCTAAGTCGATTTGGGACAAACTACGATATTGGTTTGTTGAATAGCTAGTGTCCTCCTGAGGGGCTATTATATCGAAATTTAGGCGGTCACTTAATTTTACTAAGTGCTCGCCGTTTGTATTTTCCCTAAGGTTTGTGTATAAACTTACCCGAGAAAACCGCGTAGAAATGACTATTTTCACCTTTAATCACTTCCCGCTTAAAATCGCTTAAAGAATTAAATGAAATTAAAACTGTTTTAAAAGACGCACGACCTTGTGAAGGAATGTAAAAAAATTAATTATAGCTAAACAAAACAAAATTACACTGCCATTTACATTCAGTGGATTCCCACATGATAGATGAAGAGATTAAAAAATAGATTGAGTTAAACAATTGATATTTTCAAAAGTTATCGTGTTTACAAGCCACAGGGATATGATAAATCCACACCATAAGCCACTAAAACCCTTTTTTAATTTAAAAATAGCAATTAATCGATTTAAAAAAATTATTAATAAGTTCAACAAATCATTTATCTTTCTAAAGACCTGTCGATTGATATGCTACATGCCCTGTGTCAGTCTGTTGAGAATTTGAAATTGTAGCGGTTTCTAACGGTTGCCGTTGAGAAATCAGTTTCAAAATAGGAGATTCAGATGCCTGGGTGATCAGTAATCGATTGCTGAAAACAGAATTTGAAAACTCGAAACCGTTCTCGAGATAATCGTGGGACAGACGGACAGACGGACAGACGGAGACTTTTAATCGATATTTTCATTCGCTACGTATGTTCATGGTATTGTTCGTAATACGCATAAGTTCAATTTTGCCATTTTTTATTACATTTTTTTGCGTCTCATAGAGTCCCTAAGCGTATACCCGAACTCCTATACTCCCTCAAACGACACTCAGTCCTAAATGCAAGACGCAAGAGTCTCGCAAGCATAGTCTTGTTCTTGCGCAAATCTTGCACGGTCAGTCTTGGTCTTGGTCTTGCTAAAAATAGGCGGTCTTGTTCTTGGTCTTGGTATTGCAAAAATGCAAGAACAAGACCAAGACTGCAAGACCAAGACCGATTTTGGGCAACACTATCCAGCACGTATATAGGCCGAAACTTTACTTTTTACTTTTATATATTATGCGCAGTGCAGACTTGTTATACATAAAAATAGAATTTTAGGAGTTCGTCTTTGTAGGTACCATACCTCACTCCTACCTATTTCTGCCACCAAATGGAAGCCGCCGCCGAGAAGTAAGACCGTCAGACCAGTCTGAAGTGTATTAAGAACCAGTATACCTAAATACAGACTGTGAGGCGTTCCATCGCACGCATGTGTAGCCTTCCTTGTTTTTAGGTGGGCTTTAAGTTCGCTCGTCCCTTCAATTTCACTTATTTTTCTTTTTTTTTTTAAAAACATTACCCTCACACTAGGATTTTCTCCTGTGTCGTGGAGGCAGTTTACAAACATAAATGAAACATTTCAGAACACACAAACACAAACAAACAAATCATTTCATAAGGCCCGCTCTATACATACGGAATTCCGTTTCGAGATTCCGTTTCGGAATTTCGAACGGTCGGCCACACACAAACGGAATCCCGTTTTGCCCGCAAAATATCGAACGGAAAACTACCGTACGTGTGTGGCGGGTCATAGATTTTATATGGACTTGCTGCGTTCGGGATTCCGAATCGGAATATCGAAACGGAATCTCGAAACGGAATTCCGTATGTATGTGGCCGGCCTAACACTTTGTCAGCGTCTCGCGATGAGTGCGCGCGGGCGGCGGGCGTGCTGCGCTGGACGCTTCAGCAGGCGCAGCGCTGCGCGTGCAGCGGCGTGCAGCTGGCGCGCGACCTGCTGGTGCTGGGCGTGCCGCGAGCACACGCTGCAGCGCTCGCTGAAGCCGCTGACCGGAGCCGCGACGCGTACGTCGCCGATGCGCATGAACACGGTTTCATGGGTGAGATATTAAATTAAAAAGTTTTAGTTTTTGTTCTTAATTTTTTTCATAACCGTGGCCATAGGTGCTGTAAAGTACTCGAGACGTCGGAAATATAAATGAACTTAATATACACTATAAAATCCGTAACAACTAGTTTTATTGAAATGTTGTAGTGTTCGCATAAACATAAGAAATCAATAAAAACTGTACTCATAATTCCTCTAGGTAAGTTACAGCCTATTGGTTCTGGTGCTGGACTAAGACCTTTAGTTGGAAGGTTTCAGGGAGCGTCCAAAACTTTGCTTTAGTGCGTGTTGACAGGCTTCAACTAACTGTGAAATATTTTTGCTTTCTTCACAAATATGCAGGTTTTCTCCAGGATTTTACTACTATAAACATTAAGGTTAGCCAGCACACACTAGCTCTCCCACTGCGGTTCTTCATAAAATCATATCTTTGTAAAAAGTATTTAAATGAAAATTTTATTGTTTTAACCATAAAGGTTATAAAGGGCGGACTTAATGACAATTAGTGTTTTTTTTACGTGATAGAGCTATGCTGCAGCTATATTAGTAGTATAGTTGTAGCACGAATGGGTCGGCTCGACCGGGGAAGGACCACGCTCTCACAGAATACCAGCGTAAAATAGCAGCGTAACGCTGCTGTGTTTCGTATGGTGAGTGTAGAGAACCGGAGACCCTTTTTAATGGAAACGAAGCATTCCATCTTAGTCCTCACGGGTGACAAGTGACAACGCATCTGTATTTTGATACGTAATCGAGGATTAATGTAGTTGTCTATGGGCCACAGCAACAACTTACCATCAGGTGGACTGTGTGCTTATCGCCTTATCCTATAAAAATATCTGTCAGCAACCCATGGCGTGGTCAAATAATTTAAAACTAAAAATTTTGTACAACCGACTTCAATATATATTACTAAGAATAACTCAAAAACTATTTGTTACCTTTACAAAACCTTTACAAAATTTATATTGGACCACATGAAAAGCACCAGCTTTCAAATAAAAAAGAGAATCATTGAAATTGGTTCGCCCCGAATAAATTTTTGAGGTAACAACACATATAAAAAGAAGAACATACAGTCGAATGGAGCACCTCCTCCTTTTTGAATTCAGTAGAAAATTGTAGCAGGTGCCTCTAATGACTAAATTATAATGAACTGAAATGAATACATATAACACAAATTAAAATTAGGCTTGTAAATTACACAAACATATGAATGCAAACAAATACCTATTAATCCATATATACCAATTATCTTTAACACATCATACATACATATATACACATAAATACAAAAATAATAATATTAATAAATCCAATTGGGCATATCTTAAGCGCATTAAAAAAATAACGTATAACATGACTATACGGAATTTTTAAAGTAGTTTAAATACATTTCGACAGCACTATCGGCTTCAACACCCTCGAAAACCATGAAAATGATACCCAAGATGAAAAAATTTGTACCTACTTCAGCCGCCATCTTGGATTTACATTTCGACAGCACTATCGGCATCAGCACCCTCGAAAACCATGAAAATTACACCCATGATGAAAAAATTGATATCTATTGCAGCCGCCATCTTGGATTTACATTTCGACGGCACTATCGGCTTCAACACCCTCGAAAACCATGAAAATGATACCCAAGATGAAAAAATTTGTATCTATTGCAGCCGCCATCTTAGATTTACATTTCGACAGCACTATCGGCTTCAACACCCTCGAAAACCATGAAAATGACACCCATGATTAAAAAATTGATATCTATTGCAGCCGCCATCTTGGATTTACATTTCGACATCACTATCGGCTTCAACACCCTCGAAAACCATGAAAATGACACCCAAGATGAAAAACTTGATATCTATTGCAGCCGCAACCTTGGATTTACATTTCGACAGCACTATCGGCTTCAGCACCCTCGAAAACCATGAAAATTACACCCATGATGAAAAAATTGATATCTATTGCAGCCGCCATCTTGGATTTACATTTCGACGGCACTATCGGCTTCAACACCCTCGAAAACCATGAAAATGATACCCAAGATGAAAAAATTTGTACCTACTTCAGCCGCCATCTTGGATTTACATTTCGACAGCACTATCGGCATCAGCACCCTCGAAAACCATGAAAATTACACCCATGATGAAAAAATTGATATCTATTGCAGCCGCCATCTTGGATTTACATTTCGACGGCACTATCGGCTTCAACACCCTCGAAAACCATGAAAATGATACCCAAGATGAAAAAATTTGTATCTATTGCAGCCGCCATCTTAGATTAACATTTCGACAGCACTATCGGCTTCAACACCCTCGAAAACCATGAAAATGACACCCAAGATGAAAAAATTGGTACCTACTTGCAGCCGCCATCTTGGATTTACATTTCGACAGCACTATCGGCTTCAACACCCTCGAAAACCATGAAAATGACACCCAAGATGAAAAACTTGATATCTATTGCAGCCGCAACCTTGGATTTACATTTCGACAGCACTATCGGCTTCAGCACCCTCGAAAACCATGAAAATTACACCCATGATGAAAAAATTGATATCTATTGCAGCCGCCATCTTGGATTTACATTTCGACATCACTATCGGCTTCAACACCCTCGAAAACCATGAAAATGACACCCAAGATGAAAAACTTGATATCTATTGCAGCCGCAACCTTGGATTTACATTTCGACAGCACTATCGGCTTCAGCACCCTCGAAAACCATGAAAATTACACCCATGATGAAAAAATTGATATCTATTGCAGCCGCCATCTTGGATTTACATTTCGACGGCACTATCGGCTTCAACACCCTCGAAAACCATGAAAATGATACCCAAGATGAAAAAATTTGTACCTACTTCAGCCGCCATCTTGGATTTACATTTCGACAGCACTATCGGCATCAGCACCCTCGAAAACCATGAAAATTACACCCATGATGAAAAAATTGATATCTATTGCAGCCGCCATCTTGGATTTACATTTCGACGGCACTATCGGCTTCAACACCCTCGAAAACCATGAAAATGATACCCAAGATGAAAAAATTTGTATCTATTGCAGCCGCCATCTTAGATTAACATTTCGACAGCACTATCGGCTTCAACACCCTCGAAAACCATGAAAATGACACCCAAGATGAAAAAATTGGTACCTACTTGCAGCCGCCATCTTGGATTTACATTTCGACAGCACTATCGGCTTCAACACCCTCGAAAACCATGAAAATGACACCCAAGATGAAAAACTTGATATCTATTGCAGCCGCAACCTTGGATTTACATTTCGACAGCACTATCGGCTTCAGCACCCTCGAAAACCATGAAAATTACACCCATGATGAAAAAATTGATATCTATTGCAGCCGCCATCTTGGATTTACATTTCGACATCACTATCGGCTTCAACACCCTCGAAAACCATGAAAATGACACCCAAGATGAAAAACTTGATATCTATTGCAGCCGCAACCTTGGATTTACATTTCGACAGCACTATCGGCTTCAGCACCCTCGAAAACCATGAAAATTACACCCATGATGAAAAAATTGATATCTATTGCAGCCGCCATCTTGGATTTACATTTCGACGGCACTATCGGCTTCAACACCCTCGAAAACCATGAAAATGATACCCAAGATGAAAAAATTTGTACCTACTTCAGCCGCCATCTTGGATTTACATTTCGACAGCACTATCGGCATCAGCACCCTCGAAAACCATGAAAATTACACCCATGATGAAAAAATTGATATCTATTGCAGCCGCCATCTTGGATTTACATTTCGACGGCACTATCGGCTTCAACACCCTCGAAAACCATGAAAATGATACCCAAGATGAAAAAATTTGTATCTATTGCAGCCGCCATCTTAGATTAACATTTCGACAGCACTATCGGCTTCAACACCCTCGAAAACCATGAAAATGACACCCAAGATGAAAAAATTGGTACCTACTTGCAGCCGCCATCTTGGATTTACATTTCGACAGCACTATCGGCTTCAACACCCTCGAAAACCATGAAAATGACACCCAAGATGAAAAACTTGATATCTATTGCAGCCGCAACCTTGGATTTACATTTCGACAGCACTATCGGCTTCAGCACCCTCGAAAACCATGAAAATGACACCCAAGATGAAAAAATTGGTACCTACTTGCAGCCGCCATCTTGGATTTACATTTCTACAGCACCGCCATCTTGGATTTACATTTCGACGGCACTATCGGCTTCAACACCCTCGAAAACCATGAAAATGATACCCAAGATGAAAAAATTTGTATCTATTGCAGCCGCCATCTTGGATTTACATTTCGACAGCACTATCGGCTTCAACACCCTCGAAAACCATGAAAATGACACCCAAGATGAAAAAATTGGTACCTACTTCAGCCGCCATCTTGGATTTACATTTCGACAGCACTATCGGCTTCAACACCCGCGAAAACCATGAGAATGACACCCATGATTAAAAAATTGATATCTATTGCAGCCGCCATCTTGGATTTACATTTCGACAGCACTATCGGCTTCAACACCCTCGGAAACCATGAAAATGACACCCATGATGAAAAAATTGATACCTATTGCAGTCGCCATCTTGGATTTACATTTCGACGGCACTATCGGCTTCAACACCCTCGAAAACCATGAAAATGATACCCAAGATGAAAAAATTTGTACCTACTTCAGCCGCCATCTAGGATTTACATTTCGACAGCACCCTCGAAAACCATGAAAATGACACCCATGATGAAAAAATTGGTAATTTGTTCAGCTGCCATCCTGGATTTACATTTCGACAGCACTATCGGCTTCAACACCCTCGAAAACCATGAAAATGACACCCACGATGAAAAAATTGGTACCTACTTCAGCCGCCATCTTGGATTTACATTTCGACAGCACCCTCGAAAACCATGAAAATGACACCCATGATGAAAAAATTGATATCTATTGCAGCCGCCATCTTGGATTTACATTTAGACAGCAGTATCGGCTTCAACACCCTCGAAAACCATGAAAATGACACCCACGATGAAAAAATTGGTACCCACTTCAGCCGCCATCTTGGATTTACATTTCGACAGCACCCTCGAAAACCATGAAAATGACACCCATGATGAAAAAATTGATATCTATTGCAGCCGCCATCTTGGATTTACATTTAGACAGCAGTATCGGCTTCAACACCGTCGAAAACCATGAAAATTACACCCATGATGAAAAAATTGGTACCTACTTCAGCCGCCATCTTGGATTTCGACGGCACTATCGGCTTCAACACCCTCGAAACCCATGAAAATAACATCCATGATGAAAAAATTGATATCTATTGCAGCCGCCATCTTGGATTTACATTTACATTCCGAACGCAGAAATAGGTTAAAAGAAAAAATATTAAACGAGTTGTTGTTTATAAAACAAAATAGCTGCTATTTTAATTATTGATTTGTAACTATAATAATGATGAAAGCTGATTTTTAATTGTTATTTCGAATATATATCAAAATAAAACTCTACGTTTCGTATAACATATGTTACATACATACAGCACCCTCGAAAACCATGAAAATTACACCCATGATGAAAAAATTTATATCTATTGCAGCCGCCATCTTGGATTTACATTTCGACAGCACCGCCATCTTGAATTTACATTTCGACGGCACTATCGGCTTCAACACCCTCGAAAACCATGAAAATGATACCCAAGATGAAAAAATTTGTATCTATTGCAGCCGCTATCTTGGATTTACATTTCGACAGCACTATCGGCTTCAACACCCTCGAAAACCATGAAAATGACACCCAAGATGAAAAAATTGGTACCTACTTGCAGCCGCCATCTTGGATTTACATTTACATTCCGAACGCAGAAATAGGTTAAAAGAAAAAATATTAAACGAGTTGTTGTTTATAAAACAAAATAGCTGCTATTTTAATTATTGATTTGTAACTATAATAATGATGAAAGCTGATTTTTAATTGTTATTTCGAATATATATCAAAATAAAACTCTACGTTTCGTATAACATATGTTATTTTATTGATGTTACGCTAATCCTACAATTTTTTAGTAAAACTATCGATACTATCGGATTATCAAACTATCAATGTTTAACGTACAGTAAACTACTCTGTGGCTGTAGCTCCCCATTTACAGAAATAATTTACATACAAGGCTACCAAATCAACGAAAATTTCGCCATTTTGGAGCCGACAAAAATTAATTATAGCTAAACAAAACAAAATTACACTACCATTTACATTCAGTGGCTTCCCACATGATAGATGAAGAGATTAAAAAATAGATTGAGTTAAACAATTGATATTTTCAAAAGTTATCGTGTTTACAAGCCACAGGGACATGATAAATCCACACCATAAGCCACTAAAACCCTTTTTTTATTTAAAAATAGCAATTAATCGATTTAAAAAAAATATTAATAAGTTCAACAATCATTTATCTTTCTAACAATGTGCTTTTTAAATCATTTATATGTATAATATGATTGCTAGATACGATTTTATTCGATAAAACGTTGGAATCTTAATTTTTAGGCGATAGTAGAACATACCTTGCGCTTTCGCTTAAGGTATGCAAAAGTAGGTACTATGCTATGTAACGACCTGACAGTTTACTTGATGGTAAATGACCCGATACATGGACTGGACCCATGATCCTCTACAACCAGCTTCAAACAAAGAAGACTATAAATGCATTGACACCTCTGAAGAATATGATGCAATTAAAGTGGTTGATTCTCCACACCCATTATAGACAGTAGCCGTGTAAGAGCGATTTACTTCCATCAGATTAACTTTAAGCCCATTGACGCATTTTTCTAATGCACTCTTTCAGTGAACAAACTGACTGACATCGCGGCAGCTCCAGGCCCCGAAGGGACAGTAGATGTGGTCAAACTTACTCTCTATTCTGATGAAGTGTTCACCGGTGAACAGAACATCACAGAGTTATTGGTTGATAAATCATTACTGAAAACAATGTTAGTGGACCTGAAGACCGCTAGGAAGATGATGGACGAAATTGAAACAGAGGAAAATTGATTGAACTGAGGACAGATATACTGGCACCATGCACGCCACTTACGATTCTGTAAACGTCCCACTGCTGGGGTTAGACTTCCCGAGGTTTAGGAATGCGATTATAAAGTAGACGGAACTGCACGGACTGCATACGTTTCAAGTGACGCCGAAATCAAATCGAAACCATGCCCAGCTTTTTGTAAGAACACCCAATGTGCACCTAAAATCACATATAACGCAATAACAAATCTAAAACCTTTTCCAACTAACCACATGGTTTTAGACGCGTATTATGTGTACCTCCAGCTATGGACATTAACAGCCTAATAAAGAAAGAAAGAAGAATAATTTTGTTGGTTCGCAAGTGAGTGCGTGCTTACAATTTGAACATAGATTTGGCTGCACTTGAAACCTACGCAGAGCTTCGTTGTTTCTTTTTTGGTATGAGCCACCACATGACAAAATTATTACGTAATTAGATCAACATTAACAATAAAATATATTTCAATTCTTGGAATAATTTCGGTAAGAGTCACGGTATCAGTTTACGGGTATGTTTCCATACACGTAAACTGACCGTGACTCTCTCACGTATCTACATTATATTTTTATCGTTTTATGTGACGATTAGGAGGATTTATGACAATGTGAATATTTAGTAGCACCCACTCTGCCCACTCACTGCAGCCTATCATAGACCTCTCCTCAAAGGACAGATATTTGCCATAGCTGCCACGCTTGGCAGATGGTTTGGCACCCAAGCTTTTTTCTTAGTTTGAGTTGTAATTTGGAAGATGTTACTGCCCTTCTCCTGTTTTATTTCTCTTCGTTGGCTTTTATGACACTACGCGGTGTATAAATTGTTATTAACAAGTTAAAAAAAAATAACAGTACATAATTTAGCCGAAGTTTAGCCCTTGAGTTACTATGAATCTTCGGTAGCAGTCTTTCCTCTTCCAAAAACCCCTCAGAAATGAGAGGAGAATTTTAATTCCAGCAGTGAGACGTATACGATACAATTTAGAAACATAATGTAAATAAGTTTATAATTGCAAAGATTGTATTAACGTGCATTTTATAATATTCTAAGGTTACGTTTAGATATATGTTGTAATTGATTTAATAATAAAACATCCTAAGCTCTACATACTTTTTTTCTTTTATTATGGACTTGTACGGTATACTTTTACCAGTGTCAAGTTATAAGACGTGTAGTGGCGATGAAGAATATCCACATCCATATCTTCCCGTGGGTGTCGTAAGAGGCGACAAAGAAAAACAGGCTGGTGAAGATCAGCAGCGTCTTCGTGATAACAGCAGTAGTACAATAAAAACTATGGTTGCCAACCAGCTCGCCAAGCGTGGCAACTATGGCAAACATGAGCAATGACACAAATAAACGGCCCTCAGTTCCCGGCGGCCCCGATATTCCTGGCTACGATGGCGCCCATGGTAACGGCAGGGTAGGAGATGCTAAGAATCTCTAAGTGAGTGAGTAAGAAGACTCTTTGTGATGAAATCTTTCTTTCAGAAACAGCCCCGACAGTACGACAAAAATGAGATTGACTTCATTATGACAGACGGCAACTGTTCAGTGATGTTTCAATGATAGCGAGGGTGAAAACTGGCAGCGATCACCGAATAGTTAGAGGTACACTGAACCTAAAGGTTAAGTTGGAGATGTTACTAATGAAGTCAACGATTCGTTCCCCTCGTGCTCTAATCCAATGTCCAGAAAATTTTCAGCTCCAGTTTGTCGTAAAGCGACAATTAAAAACAAAAGAACTTAACCTAACAACAACCAAACAACAAAAATAGAACAAAAAAGAAATAATTTATTTATAATTTAAAAAGATATTTATAGTTTTATATAAAAAAATGAAGTATGATGATGATGATGGGTGACGTGAATTACAATTATTTAAAAAAAAAGATAATAAAGATAAATCGAGTACTGAAGCGGAGCCCGAAGACCAAAGTGGCACACCGCGCCTGGCGGTAGTGCTAGTATGCACAGGATGTGCCTGTGATAGGCGTGCAGCGCCTGGTCTAGGCACACGCAGCGCCTGGATTAGGCACACACAGCGCCTGGTCTAGGCACACGCAGCGCCTGGAGTAGGCACACGCAGCGCTTGGAGTAGGCACACGCAACGCCTGGAGTAGGCACACACAGCGCCTGGAGTAGGCACACGCAGCGCTTGGAGTAGGTACACGCTGCGCCTGGAGTAGACACACGCAGCGCCTGGAGTAGGCACACGTTGCGTCTGGAGTAGGCACACACAGCGGCTAAAGATAGCGCGGGCACTAGTAGTTGGAGGCGTGGGCGTGGCTAGGCGACGACTTCAGGTGAAGGCAGAGGCTTGCAGGATCCCGGGGCAGTGCGGCCCCGGGATAAGGCCTTTAGGAGATGCTTCAAGTTTGAAAGCTGAAGCGAGACTGAGTTTATTGGCCGATTGTTCGGCTTTTATACCTTTTTAGAGAGCTCCGCGCTCGACAGCGGATCTGGGATAAGAACGGAAAATTATTTAAATTAAAAGCAAATTTTTGTAAATGGCCAAGAGGAAAAGAGTATTTTTGTGGAAGTATTGAAGTAAAAACATCAGACCGGTAATGAATTTGAATAAAAATTGCCATGACAACCAGATAAACAACGATGTCAAAACATGTCAAATTTTGGTTTCAGGCTCGTAATAGAGAAACGGCAAGATTTAAGTGAAAAATGAGATATTGTTGATATAGGAAAAAGGTAGCGCACCAGCGCGCACGAAGCCCGAAATTGCAGAGTTACGGAGAACTAAAGATCGAAAAAGGTAGACTCCATCGACACCGATTTAAAAAGTGCTGATAGCGTGAAAATACGAAGTGAAAATGATTTGTTATTGTGTTCTTATGGTTTAAAAACGTTACAGGATCCTATGGAAATAAAGGTGATACAAAATATCCAGTTTTGAGGTGAATGCAGAAAATCAAAACAGAATGGAAAAATGAATTTAAAATAGTGTAAAATGATATGTAAGTAGCATAACACTACATTTTCCCCCCGACCCTGGAAAATTTTTGACTTAGCAAAAATTTTGATATGTACATTCTAAAATAAACCATAAAAACACAGCTTTGCAGAAACAGACATCACCAGGCAAAATCAGATATACTATCTCTTACATTCATCATCTGCATTCAGGTAAGGGTGGAGTTCACATTCAATGACTAACCACTCTAAAAGTGTGTTTTCGAAAGGACATTCAGGCTTACTTAAGGAGTTGTCATCCGCCCCTGCGTGGAAAAAAAATTATTAAGGGAGTAGTTAGCCGCTCCCAAGTGAAGATAAAGATAAAGAAATTAATCTTAAGTGACTCGACCTGGCAACATACAACGCACGTACCCTGAGGACTGACGAGAAGATTGTGGAGCTGGAAGAAGAGATAGACAAGTTACGCTGGCATATTATAGGATTATCCGAAGTCCGAAGAGAGGGGGAGGACACGGTAATCCTCGAATCCGGCAACTTGCTCTATTACCGGGAGGGCGACCATCTGTCCCAAGGAGGTGTCGGATTTATCGTCCACAAGTCTCTCGTTAACAACGTTGTAAGATTGAGAGTGTGTCGACGAGGGTTGCGTACCTTATACTCAGAATCACCAAACGGTATTCGCTGAAGGTCATACAGGTTTACGCACCAACCTCGGCACACCCCGATCAGGAGGTGGAGGAAATGTATGAGGATATCTCTAGAGCCATGCATTCCTCCAAAACCCAATATACGGTGTTAATGGGAGACTTCAATGCAAAACTGGGCACAAGAGAGAACGGTGAGCTGAAAGTAGGGAAATTTGGAATAGGGCAACGGAACCCAAGGGGCCAGCAGCTGGCCGACTTCATGGAGAAAGAGGGACTCTTTATGATGAACTCTTTCTTCCAGAAGCGGCCCCACAGGAAGTGGACCTGGTCGAGCCCCGACGGTTCGACAAAAAATGAGATTGACTTCATTATGACGACCAGACGACAACTGTTCAGTGATGTCTCAGTGATCGCGAGGGTGAAAACCGGCAGCGATCACCGAATGGTTAGAGGCACACTGAACCTAAACGTTAAGTTGGAGAGGTCTCGTCTAATGAAGTCAACGCTCCGTCCCCCTCGTGCTCTTTTCCAAAGTCCCGAAACCTTTCAGCTCGAGTTACAAAACCGTTTTCAGTGCCTAGAAGACTGCAATGAAGTGGACGATTTGAATGACAAGCTCGTGGAAACTGTCCATGCGGTCGGAGCTAAGTTCTGCAAGACCCGCCGCAGAAGAACACAAAAACTCTCCGATCACACTCTTAATCTCATGGCTGTTAGACGGGAGATGAAGCTACATTCTTCAACAGATTTAACAGCATACAGGCAACTGAACGGACAGATCTCCAAATGCATGCGGCGGGACTTACGCAAATTCAATACAGCTCGTATTGAAGAAGCGATCGAGCGGAACCGAGGCTCCAAAGTCTTTGCCAGAGATCTGTCTGCCAGAAAGCGCCAACTGTCAAAGCTGAAGACAGAATGTGGCAGCATCGTTTCCGGGGCACCTGAGATTTTGAGTGAGATTGAGAGGTTCTATGGGCAGCTGTACACGTCATCGTTGGAGCCGCACGCAAGTGTGAGTAACGATCCAAGAGCGAGTCTTATCCGACATTATTCCGATGATATCCCGGACGTCAGTCTGAGCGAGATTAGAATGGCTCTCCAGCACCTTAAAAACGGCAAGGCCCCAGGCGAGGATGGAATTACAGCGGAGCTTCTGAAAGCGGGTGGAAGACCGGTACTTGAAGTCCTTCAGAAGCTCTTTAATTCCGTCCTCTATGGTGGCATTACACCGGAGGCGTGGAGCAGAAGTGCGGTGGTCTTGTTCTTCAAGAAAGGCGACAACGCTCTCTTGAAGAACTACAGACCGATTTCCCTTCTGAGCCGCGTCTACGTGCTGTTTTCGAGAGTCATTACGAATCGTCTCGCGCGCAGACTTGACGACTTCCAGCCTCCCGAACAAG